AAAAAAAAAAAAAAAGAAAAAGAAAATACAAAAATTAGCTGGGCATGGTGGCGGATACCTGTAATCCCAGCTACTCGGGGTCCTAAGGCAGGAGAATCGCTGAGCCTGGGAGGTGGAAGTTGCAGTGAGCTGAAATCATGCCATTGTACTCCAGCCTGGGTGACAAGAGTGGAACCCTGTCTCGAAAAAAACCCAAAAAACAAACAAACAAATTAGCCAGACGTGGTAGTGGGGCTACAGTGAACCGTGATTGAGCCATTGCAGTCCAGCCTGGGAGATGGAGTAAGACCCTGTCTCAAAAAAAACAAAGTAAAATGAATAGTGGTCTGGTATTGAGATGAAGGTAACTTTGCTTTGGATATGCAGAGATATGGAGCTTGCCCTTATGTTGTTAGAATTGGAATGTAGGCCAGGAAGGGAGTCTAGAAGTATGTGTTGAGCCCTTAGTACTTACAGTAATAAGTGAACATAGAGAACAGATACTCAAGGAGCATCCACTGGAGGAGGAAGGAGAGAAACCATTGAAGAAGATATGTGTTAGAGGTAAGAAGGGAGTATAAAGTCTAACTGAAACCAAGGCAATGGAGAGTGTCAACAAGCATTGTGGGTCCAAAGTGGAATAATGTATTAATTATCGTGAGATGTTACTGGGCTTGGACTGAGAAGCCTCACTTTGCCTTGCTTCAACTTCTCCCTGAAGTGCAGGACCTAGGAGCAATTCAAACCCCAAGGCTGACTCAATAAATAATCTTGTTTTTCTGTAGAACCTATTGGTTTGGAAAGATGTGGGCTAGTGCAGTTAACTGCAGATCAGATGGTGTAATGTGTAACTGCAAAGTATTTTCACACATGTTGTTCAATTCTTACAGCAATTCCAATTTTATGGATGAGGAAATTGTATGTGAAAGAACTCTAAAAGTTGTGTAAGTTACGGTGAACATTTTGGTGGTGGTAGTTTTTACTGTCACTAATCACTATTTTGAACATTTGATGGGGTAATCATTTTTTTGAGAATGGCTGGGATTACAGGCATGTGCCACCATGCCTGACTAATTTTTGTGTTTTTAGTAGAGACAGGGTTTCACCCTGTTGGTCGGGTTGGTCTCGAACTCCTGACCTCAGGTCATCTACCTGCCTCAGACTCCCAAAGTGCTGGGATTACAGGCATGAGCCACTGCGGCTAGCCACCAGACTGAAGTTCTAAATTCTCAAATCATTTCTTAAGTTCTGTAAATATCACAACACTGGCCATTAGTTTGGCATTTTAAAATTGATGATGCAGAATAGTGCTTTTTAATTTTTAAAAATTCTGTTAACTAAATTTAAAAAGTAAAAACAAAAAACTCCAAGATTACTGTCCTTCCATGGAAGTATAACAATTGGATTTTTATATTAATTATATAGTTTGTTTTGTTTTCCTTTAATGTGTGAATTATCAAAGTGCAGGGAGGAAGCATAATGTGAAAAGAGAACGGGCAGGCAGTGTTGATTCAATTTCTAGTACTTAGAGTTGCAGGAAATCCCACATGTGGATCTTTGGCAAGTTCCTTAATCTCTTAGAATTTCTGTTTACTTGTGTATAAAATGGCAAAGGTGGCCAGGCACGGTGGCTCATGCCTGTAATCCCAGCACTTTGGGAGGCCAAGGCAGATGGATCACCTGAGGTCAGTAATTCGAGACCAGTCTGGCCAACAGGGTGAAACCTTGTTTCTACTAAAAACACAAAAGTTAGCTGGGCGTGGTGTTGCATGCCTGTAGTCCCAGCTCCTCAGGAGGCTGAGGCAGGAGAATCGCTTGAACCTGGGAGGTACAAGTTACTGTGAGCCAAGATTGCACGACTGCACTCCAGCCTGTGTGACAGAGCAAGACTCCATCTCAAAAATAAATAAATAAAATGGCAAAGGTAATACAGGTTCACTATCCCTTATCCAAAATCCTTGGAACTAGTTGTGTTTTAGAATTCAGAATTCAGGGAGTTTTAGAAGGGTAACATCCCAGTAGGGTTTGGGGCCCAAAACCTGTAATCAAACACCTTAATATTAAATATATTAAATTGAATAGTCATACTAGTGGGATAAATAAAGACTAAAGAGCCTCACAGTAGTTCAAGTTGAATTTTGCCATCAAATGAGTTCAGGTAAGGTTTTGCCTCCAAATAAGTTACAAAAAAACTTTCGGTTTTCAGAGCTTTATGGATATCGCAATTTCGGATAAGGGATTATGGACCTGTACTTCCCTTATAGGGTAATGAAGATTTAAACAAGATAAGCTGAAAACACATTACACAGTGCTGGGTAGGTATTCAATAAGTATTAATTTTTTTCTCTTGGAAATGTTGGAAGTTTTTGTTTGTTTAGTAATTTATAATTCTGGGGTTGTCTTTGTTTTCCTGAGAAGAAAATGTTTTAATTTTCCTTAAATCTTATGGTGGGATTAGAGAGGGGATAGAGGCTGAGTCTTGAGAATGCTAGGAATGGGATGAGAAAGATAGCAACAGGTGACGCTTAGAGCTTGGCAACAGTAACCAGGCTGGATTTCCACCAGGTAGGTTTTCAAAATAACTGTAGATTGAGATGAACTGGTGGGAGAGTCATACTCTAACTTCTCTAGAGTCTTAAAAGGAAACCTCTGACCGTCTTGTCACTGCTTCTTTGTTTGTTCACAGAGTGACAGAAGGAAGTCAAGGCACCATTATGATTCAGATGAGAAATCAGAAACAAGAGAAAATGGTGTTACAGATGACCTGGATGCTCCCAAGGCCAAAAAAACTAAAATGAAAGAGAAGCTAAATGGAGACACTGAAGAAGGATTTAACAGACTTTCAGATGAATTCTCTAAATCTCATAAGTCAAGAAGAAAAGATCTACCAAATGGAGATATTGATGAATATGAAAAAAAATCAAAGCGAGTATCATCCTTAGATAGTTCTACTCATAAATCAAGTGATAATAAACTAGAGGAGGTATGGATGCTTTTTATTTTACATTCGACACTATCCTTGAAATACAGGTAGATTTGATTTTTTTTTTTTTTTTTTGAGACGAAGTTTCGTTCTTGTTACCCAAGCTGGAGCGCAATGGCACAATCTCAGCGCACCGCAACCTCCGCCTCCTGGGTTCAGGCAATTCTCCTGCCTCAGCCTCCTGAGTAGCTGGGATTACCGGCACGCGCCACCATGCCCAGCTAATTTTTTGTATTTTTAGTAGAGACGGGGTTTCACCTTGTTGACCAGGATGGTCTCGATCTCTTGACCTCACGATCCACCCACTTTGGCCTCCCAAAGTGCTGGGATTATAGGCGTGAGCCACCGCGCCCGGTGATTTTATTTTTTTAAGGCTAATTAGAATTGATTCTATAACATTTCTTGCTTAGTGTCTAGTATTCTCAGTTGGACTAGAGAGTCTGTCCAGGTGAGCCTTTTTTCCTTTGGCCCTTATTTATTTCATTGTATGGCCTTTCTCTTGGGGCAAGGTGGGATAAATGGTCAAATTTAAACCTTTCCTGTACATTTGGGTTCCTAAAGTTATTCTGAATTGCTCAGTGGTCACCTATTTGCATTTTTTTCTTTCTTTTTTTTTTTGAGTCAGAGTCTCGCTCTGTCACCCAGGCTAGAGTGCAGTGGCACAATTTTGGCTCATGGCAACCTCCTTCTCCTGGGTTCAATTCAAGTGATTCTCCTGCCTCAGCCTCCTGAGTAGCTGGGATTACAGGCACGCGCCACCACGCCTGGCTAATTTCTATATTTTTAGTAGAGACAGGGTTTCACCATATTATCCAGGCTGGTCTCAAACTCCTGACCAAAGCTGCTGTGATTACAGACGTGAGCTACTGCACCTGGCTGATAATAATTCTTTATATTCTTTATAATAATTGCTGATATTCACATACATTTGAACTTAATGCATAACCTTTGGGGAGCATTGGGAGAAGATGTTGAATCCTTATGGAGTTTTTTTTTCTTATTTGTGAATTTGCTGTTTGGCAGAAGCACAAATGTTTATTGATCTAAATAAGTTCCTATAAGTCTGTATTGCTAGCAGTGGAATTTATGGGTTGCTTCTTGCTCTGTTGAGATTTTGCCTGGTAAAATCTGTATTATAATAGGTTTAATTGTTTATTATTTTGTTTAGATCACATGAGAGTTTAGGAATTCTGCTTAAAGGAATTTATCCTAAGGAGATGACCAAGAGGTGTGCAAAGCTGTATGAATAAGTACTTTTATCACAGTAATATTGTTGATAATAGCAAAATATTTAAATATCCTAAATGTCTGATAGTAGACAACTGGTTTAGAAAAAACATACTATAGCTATGTAATAGAATACCGCTATCCCAAAGGGTAAACAATAGAGAAGGTAGTCATTTATCTTGTTAAAAGAAAAAAATAGGCCAGGTGCGGTGGCTCACGCCTGTAATCCCACCACTTTGGCTGGCTGAGGCGGGTGGATCATTTGTGGTGAGGAGTTCAAGACCAGCCTGACCAACGTGATGAAACCTCATCTCTACTAAATACAAAAAATTAGCTGGACGTGGTGGTGCATGCCTGTAGTCCCAGCCACTTGGAAGGCTGAGGCAAGAGAATCGCTTGAACCTGGGAAGCAGAGGTTGCAGTGAGCCAAGATCGCACTTTGCACTCCAGCCTGGGCAACAAGAGCGAAAGTCTGTCTTAAAAAAAGGAACAAAAAAAAAGATTATAAAATGGTATATCTAATGTGATTTTATTTCTGTTCTAAAATTTTTATGTGCATAGATTGAGGATTGGAGGAGTATGTTTCAAATGTGGCTTTAGCTGAGTGGATTATAAATTTTTAAATTTGTTT